TGCGGTGAGCCGAGATCGCGCCATTGCACTCCAGCGTGGGCAACATAGTGAGACCTTGTCTCTAAAAAAAAAAAAAAACCTTGAAAAATGATTTACCAAGATTTTCTTGCTCTGAATCATTGCCATCTGGTTTGAGAAAGTAGTTATGAAGGCCTTTTATCAAGTGGTATCTTCATAATTTTGAAACGTTTTCAGCAAATTCTTCAGATGAATTTTTTTTAAAAACTACAAGTTTTTTTCAGTAAGTATTTCTGGTATGAATGTCAGTTTCAGAATCTGTTCCTAGTTTCCTTAGCTTACCATATAAAACATATAAGTGAGATATGCATATATGCATATGTACAGAAACATATATATCATAGCTGTATCATATATGTATAAAGTCTTATTTAATTCTCAGGAGAAACTAGTGTTCAAAGAGATATAGTGACCTCATTCAATCCACAGTCAGCAAATGTTTGTTGACTGTGTACTGGGTGGCAAGGTGGCAGGCACCATTCTAGGCTGTGGGATAACAAAGACAAACAGAATGGACACAGTCAGGTTGTTTGTGTCCCAGTGACCATGGCGCAGAGGAGAGAATAAAGAAGGTAATTTCCAGTAGTGATAAGCTATGAACAGGAGCAGGGGTCAGTCAAAAAAGTCCTGTCTGGAATATCTGCAGCAGCGATCAGTCCTGTAAAGACTGGGAAGGAGCATTCCAGACATAAGAAACAGCTACTGCAAAACCCGTAGGACAAACACAAGTCCAGCATGGGCAGGAAGCAAAGAAGATTCGGCTGGGGCCCGGCGCCATGGCTCACGCCTGTTGGGAGGCCCAGACGGGCGGATCATACGGTCAAAAGATCAACACCATCCTGGCCAACATGGTGAAACTCCGTCTCTACTAAAAATGTAAAAATTAGCTGGGGGTGGTGGCGTGCGCCTGTAGTCCCAGCTACTCATGAGGCTGGGGCAGAAGAATTACTTGAACCTGGGAGGTGGAGATTGAAGTGAGCTGAGATCACACCACTGCACTCCACCTGGTGACATAGTGAGACTCCATCTCAAAAA